GTACCCAATTCTTGAGGGACCTCACACGCAGAATCGTCTCTAACTTGCTCTACCTCCTGACTGATGCTAGCTGCACACCTGTGACACCATGACTCTTCACGACAACGTTAAATCCTACTTAGTCTGTGTTCTATTGAAAGGAAAAATAGGGAAATGTTCACATAAACTGGGAGGGAGAAGAGGGAGAAAGATAAAGATTAGGAGGAGGAGAAAGCTAGGCAATGGTAGCACTCGCCTTGAATCCCAGCCTGGGGAGGCAGAGACAGGAAGATCACTGAGTTGAGGTCAGCCTGGTCTTCAGAGCAAGTTCCAAGAACAGACAAGACTACACAGAAAAACCCAGTTTCAAAAAAACAAACAGAAAAAAAATGGGGGTGGGAGGGTTACGATGACAGAATTTATTATATTAAGTGGGGAGTCACTAATGACCAGCTCAGATAAATAGCATACTACTGTAATTGCGTTGGTTTTTTAGAGATAGGGTTTGTTTCTCTGTGTAACCCTGGCTGTCCTGGAACTCATTTTGTAGACCAACTTGGCCTCGAGATCACAGAGATCCACCTGCCTCTGCCTCCTGAGTGCTGGGATTTAAGACATGTGCCACCATTACCCTGTTTACTGTAATATTTTTGAAGGGTAGTTTATAAAACCCTATATATGTCAGTTACCTGATTGCAAGTTGGATGTGACGAGGCAAAATGTTCTTAATCTTCAGAAAAACGTTAATGCTGCACCAAATATTGGCTACTTTATCCTTAAAAAAAGATTTGTTAGTCTTACATTTTGGTAGAGTTGAAAGAAATATTAAATCCCATGAAGTACAGCCTATAACTTCCAGGTAATAAACTTTCAAGACATGAAACTTTCATTCACATTTATAACAAAGAAGATTAAACTCTTAGACACCCACGGTCTCTGTTCTGAAGTGCAGACTATGCAGAGCGTTACTCCACTATACTCCACATTCCAGTAAACTACTTGATATTTTTCAAAAAGCAGTATAATAAGCTAAATCTCCCCAAACTTGTAAAATAAATATTAATTACATTTGCACCATTTTATTACAAATGTAACTTTATGTCACATAATCTAATGATCCTAGCAATGACAAGACTAATTGCTAATAAATCAAGAAGCTTTAAAACGTTAGCAATTGCACTAGGCTCACTCAAGACGAAATTTGCTATTTCAGCCCCCCAGCTGGTGCGGTCCATCCTCTACACAGCCGCAAACCTCACAGCTGTGCAAGCATGGCATCAAGGGAGGGATGGCCTCTAACAAGATCTAGTGCAGCGGTTCCCAGCCTGTGGGTCCAGATCCTTCCACGGGGGTTGAATAAGATCATCTTGCATATCAGATATTTACATTACAATTCATAACAGTAGCAAAATTACTTTATAAGTAGCAACAAAAATAATTTTATGGCTGGGGTCACCACAACATGAGGAACTGTATCTGAGGGTCACTAGGAAGCATTAGGAAGGCTGAGAAGCACTGGCCTAGAGCTTCTGCGGCACCCTGACTATGTCTAACACTATTCCACACTCACCATCATGGATACTCTCTGAAATGGGAGATACAACAACTGGAAGCTTTTACAGAAAACCAGGCTTTTCTTTACTTTGCTGTTAAGGTTATCACTTGAAATCATGACCGCCACACGCCAGGTCTATGAATTTCTGACCTCAGTTTCCTATCTGTACAATAGGGACAACAGCATCTTAGAGCTGTGGGGACCATAGCTCATACAGAGGGGTCTAACCCTAATGAGTGATGCTAGCAACACTGGGGAGAGCACCAGTCTGTACTACGACAATGTCACACACACCTCTGCCTTCACGACAGCATTGTTTAATCTCTTTCAAAATGATTAGCCCATCCCTCCTGTAAATCCACTGAAAAATATTGTATAGGAATTATCTATTCAAAACTTAGAAATGTTTTCTAATTCTTTTCAAAAGAAATGTTATTCAGAAGCAAATTATCTATAAATATGTTGTCTCTAAGTTTATTAAAAGACTTTTTGTTCCAGAAATAAATGGTTTGTTTAATTTAATTACTAAATCTAAATGATCAAATTACTCATGCAATAAAAGTTTAACAAGAGTGATTAAACTAGCATTAAATGAAAGATTCTCATTAAAGATTACTATGGATGAAGGTTATATATTTCAAAAGGAATTATGAGCTCTTCCTGAGGCAATCAGGATTATCAGCTTAACAAATAATTTGGCAAACTGAAAAGAGAATGTAAACCAGCACAGTGGTGGGCTTGTTACCCTGGGAGCTGCAGCAGCCAGTGTTCTTTCATTAAGACCAATCTGACTTAGAAAGAAAAAAGTACAACTGAATTATGAATCTGATTATGGCAAAAATATTACCTATTTATATAAGGTACTATAAAATGTGAACTGAGCCGGGGGCGCCACACTGGATTAAAAAACTGACGGGGCTGACTGGAGGAGGAAACGGAAGTTACAGCCCCTGGTAGCTCCTCCATGAGCTCCCCAAGGGTAAAATGTAGGTTCCGTAATAGAAGAGGGTAGGTCCATTTTTAAACATACCTCAAACAATCCACGATCAATAGGGAAGAGTCTTCTTAGAACCTGCAGGGCATGTTCCCTTTCTGTAAGGAAGGGCAACCAACACAGAAGGAAGGAAGCCACAACAGTACAGGCTATCTTAATCAACAACTCAAACCTAGAACAGAGATCAGAGATGAGCAGTAAGACAGAGAAAGGCCAACAACTCTTGAAAAGTGATGTGAATATCATTTAGTACAATAACTGCAAATATAACAGTACTGTCAATCAATACTACCAATAAGATGGGAATCCACTCACAACTGTAAAAAAAGACTCATTTCTCCAGCCAAGGACCCATTACGATCATAATTAGCATTTAGCTTGGATGCCATCGCTACAAGCATGAAGGAATGCGCTCATAAAGAAAAATGTCAAGCAGGACATATTTTTAATAAGTGGATGGCGCTAAAGCACACAGAGCTAAGGTGACAGCACTAGGCAGCAGTGCCTGGCCAGCCAGCCCACACACTGCCTCCAATGTACGCAGATCACAACAGTCCTGAAGTTAGGAAGACTGCATGGATACATTATACGGCAACAGTTTCCTTCCCATTCACTAATATATAGCCAACAATTTCTAAGAAACCATCCTCCTCCAGATAAGTATGCAAATAAATTCTCTGAAAATGTTTAATTCTGTGTTTTAAAAGTCACTTACCCCTTTCCTCTGAGGCCCTTTTTATAACACTTGCCAAGTAAAAAGCAAAAAAAAGGCAGGGAATGGTAGAGCTCCATCTGTTTATAATTTAGAGCTAAGCAAAACGCCAATGACCCTAGCAGGTCCCAGTCACAAGATACTCCAAGAACACCCCACAAAGCAAAGCCAAGACTCACAGAATTATATATGTTCCGGTGTCAAGGAAAATTAGCTCAGTAATTGAGACGCAGAGCCTGCATTTGATAAAACATATTTCTTGTGTGATTTAAAAATAACATGTAAACTGAAAGCTTACTTCTAAATATCACTGAAAATTATCAAAGTGATAAAAAAATTATACAAAGCAACATCAAACATATTGTCTGCTGCTAAACAGCAAGGTGTAAAGGGTCAAAAGGGTTATGAATACAGACAACATAGCTTTGTTCCTGTTAAACTACTTCACAATATTATTATAATAACATGTCAAATCTACAGAATGAAACTACTCTGGCAGCAGCTTAGTAATGACAACAAAATCACTGTATGCTTCTGTCAATCAGATAAAGAATCAAAAGAAAAAGAGTAGAAAGAGAAAGAAAATTTTAATTAGAAATTCAAAATGTGTCTAACAAAACAAATGGAATTTAATAGAGGTGTTAATGGCAAAGACAGAGTAATCGTCTATAAAGGGCAAAACAGAAAAGCAAACATACAGAAGAGGAAAATAAAAATCTAACAGCTGGCTAATAAGCTCAGAAAGGAGAAAAGCAAGAAAGTTACCAAAGAAACTAGAGTATCAGCCTTTAAAAAATGTGTCCAAAACAAGTGGAAAGAACACTGATCTGTGCCTAAGTGAACCACTGCACATTTTTACAGCCAACAAGGTAAATAAAAAACAGGACCAGCGAGATGGCTCAGCAGGTAAAGGGGTCTGCGGCCAGGCCTGATGACCTGAGTTCAATCCCTAGAAACCACATGGTGGAAGAAAAGACTCAAATTCTGTAAACTGCCCCCTGATCTCCACATGTACATACCTATACATATTACACAAAATAAATAAATGAAAAAAGAGTAATTATACAAGTAGCAATAAATACCCATACAAATAACAGCATCTCCAACAAATTACTATAAGTGTTTTACAAATACTAATTCATTTAATTCTCAAAGAAAACCACCAAGTAAGGGTGAGGGTTATTTAAAAATAAGGGAATGGAGTTAGAGGAATGAATCAAGAGTTAGGAGCACTGGCTGCTTCCAGAGGACCTGAGTTCAATTCCCAGCACCCACATAGTAGCTCACAACTGTCTGTAAGTCCAGTTCTAGGGCATCAGACACAGACATGCACATAGGCAAAACACCAATGCACACAAAATAAGAATAAATTATAAAAAAAATAAAGGGAAAAAATGTTGGATGTGATAGCAAACATCTTTAATACCAGAACTAGAGAGGCAAAGGCAGGTGGCTCTCTATGAGTTTAGACAAGTCTAGTCTACAGCAAATTCCAGAATAGCCAGGACTACACAGAGATACTCTGTCCCAAAAGAAAAAAAGAAAGAAAAAAAGAACACAAGTTAATAAAATTAGAAATAAGGAAAGAATACATAATCATTTTAAAAAATATAACCCCACAAAAATTACAAAACTCAAAAACTTGAATACTTTATTTCCCTACACCTGACTTTTATCAACCCTTTATATCAAGTGAAAAGAGTTCATATAAGTAAGTATACTAGCATATATGAAAATAAAAGATGGCAATGCTACGTGCAGTAAGCCTAGATCATAGTAAATAACTGATTTCACTTCTAATTTAATAAAGGATACTGAAAATGTCCATAGTCGATAAGAATAAGACCTGGATACAGCAATACGCATAGTGCACTGGCGATCTGTGAAGAAAAGCATGGTGGGTAAAGAGGTCATCACTACAGTAGAGACGTGCATCCATCTTCCCGAGGTACTGTCCTTCCTTAATCAAAACATCCCATTTTCACAAGATACCTATTAAAAGCTTTCATGAAAGCAACAGAAAATACTTTAATAAGAAGTAAAAATTACTGAAAAGAATTCTTTATCTGGTTTTTTTTTTGAGTTATACTATGTAGCTCTGTCTGTCCTCAAACTCACAGAGATGCACCCGCCTCTGCCTCCCAAAGCGCTGCAATTAAAGGCATGACCACACCCAGAAATGCACTTTTAATAAAAAGACTGGCTACCTAATGATTCAATGTAAAATTCCCAAGTAAGGCTACTTGACAATGCCTGTGAACAGATAGATACATAAACTTTCCAACATGCCCGCTAGTTGTCGCAAGCCAGCTCAAAATTCTGATTTACAAGCTTAGCAATAAACCCAGCATGATGGGTCAAAAGCACAGTACTTCTAGAGTTCAGTGCATTCTGTTATCACTAGAGAGCACTTAAAGTAATCACTGTAAGTGAAACTATTGTTTCTCAATGAAAATTCATCAATAGAAGATAAAATATTCATTATCCTATCTACTCCCAAAGAACAGGGTTTCTTTAAAGTCGATCCTTAGTAGGCTAGTAATAACTTAAACGTTTCAGAGATGAAATGTCGGGCACCTTTAAAACTTACCTTTCTCTTCGATGAGATCTCTTTCAAGGAGTTACAGTACAAAAGCACCGCTGGGATGTAAATGAGCAGATCAGCAACTAAAACTGAAAATAAGCAAACACAAAGAGTCTGTGAGGCTCTCTGTGAGCCAGCCACCTTCCTCCTGTAGCAAATCCCTAACAATTAGGCCTTTCACTCCCTCCACTTATAAAGGCTGCATCCCAAGATGCTTCCCTGACTTTTCATACATTTAATCAACAAGACAATGACACAGCCCCGCTCTTGTGGCTCTGGCTTGAGTGTCAAACGCACACTCAAAGCACGGGAAGACAGTCTATTCTCTCACACCTGTACACTCAAAATGCTCTGTTCTGATCAAGTGCTACCATATACAAAAATACACAAACTTTTACTAGTCAATGCATGTAAAGAATTAGAGAGAGCCACGCACGGTGTCTCATGAGCATTAAGTTATCAATCAGCAGGATGCAGCATGAGGATGAAGCCTGGGGCTACATAATGACTTCCAAACTGTCTCAAAATAAAACAAAAACAAACAAACAAACCAAAAAACAGAAACAAAAAAAGAGCTTGAGAGACCTGGGTAAGGAAGAAACTAGAAACACACACCGTTGGCCTGTGAGTGTGTGTCAGTGTGAACATAAGGGCAACATGTTCTGTGGGGGGCAACAGAACAGGGACAAAACAGAAAAACAGCAATGTATAATTCCTTGTCCTGTCATTTTAGAACAAAGAAGAGAATTCTCGAATAGGACAGCACTGCTATTCAAAAAGTCTGTGTTATCCTGCTACGAGAAAAAAAATTAATGCCTGGCACTCTCTGAAACTAGAATGGGCTTTAAAAAGCTGTGACTCTTAGAAATGCAGATATCAGTCTGGGTGCTGAGAACTACCAGATGAACAGTCAGAAAACACTGGAAAGCACTGGGAGGAGGAGAGAGATGTGAAGAGGGCAGACCAACACAAGTTATCTCCTGGGTGATATTCTGTAACAGGAGAACAGTAAAGACAACAGACACCAAGTCCTCAGGTTGACTAACAAAAGGTACAAGTTAAAATTAAAGTCTTAGTTATATAATGCTTTTAAAGAAACCAAAGCTTATTACTTCAACCTAGATTAGCATACAGCGATGCTCGATAAACACAGATGACAAGCCAGAGATATTGCTCAGTGGCACGGCTGGACTAGCATGAGCCCAGTACCACTCACACAGAGAGGAGGGTGTTTGGGTGGGTTGTTTAATGTACAAACAACACAATGTATGAAGCACCACTGTCAGAACTGTCTTAAGAAAACTGAGGGAACCTGGGATTAGGCACTAAAGCAGCAGCACAGACAAGTACAGCTTCAGCTCCTAACTATCCGAGGTTTTCCGCCTAGTGTACCTGAGCCTCGGCCGTTTCCTCACCTTGACATATGGGTAAGAACATTCATTTCACCTGAGTGCACATAGAGTCAGGCGAGATAATAAAGGTGAAATACACAGAATTACTCCTTTACTTTTGGTTTAAAGCTTACATATACCTTTAGGCTTACAGCATATACACATGCATATAAATTTGTAGTTATACAATTTTAAAGTCATTAGAACAATAGCTGGGCATGGTGGCACATGCATTTAATCTCAGCACTCAGGATGCAGAGACAGGCAGACCTCTGTGAGTTCTGGGACAGCCAGAGCTACACAGTGAGATACTGTCTCAAAAACAAACAAAAAAAGAATAATAGTAGTTTTATCAATTTACCCAAATTGTTTTTAAAAATCAAATTTTTAACCCAATACCAACCACTCTCTTACCTGTGGCACGCATGAAGAGTTTGTGTGCCTGACTCTCATAGCCACGTGATGTGTGCAGAGCAACCCAGTCAGGATTTATAAACCCTGCCCTGTAAATCAAAGTATATATAATATCATGCACTTTATTCCTCTTGGTTTTAGTAATAAAGACATCTGAGAACACAGAAGTCTAAGAGTTGGCTGTCAACCCTGAAGCATCACTCCTTGTATCTGATCATGTAAAATGCACTGAGGATATAAAACAGTATCTCATCTGCCTTGCTCATCTTCCAGTAAAACCGAGTAATATGAAGGTGTCTGACCCTTGCCATTCTGGTGTAAAAAACAATCTGATATCACATAACATTTCATTATTAAAAACCTACTTTGGTTGGGCAGTGGTGGCACACACCTTTAATCCCTGCACTTGGAAGGAAGAGGTAGATGGATCTCTGTGAGTTCGAGGCCAGCCTGGTCTACAGAGTGGGTTCCAGGACAGGCTTCAATGCTACAGAGAAACCCTGTCTGGGGGAAAAAAAAAAAAAAAAAAAAAAGAACTAAAAAACAAAAACCAAAATGAAACAAAAAATAGCATACTTTGTTTATAACCTCTTCAGTTACCGTAAGAATTGGCTATAGTAAACATAGTAATCATAAATTTTACACACAATTCAGCCATTATTATTGATAAGTCTAGCCTTCAATCTGGACACTACGGAGTATAAGTAACCAACATGAAGTTTAGGAACTTACTTTCAACTCATAAAAGTTTACTTTATAAAATATGAAAGAGTTAAAAGCTGAAATAAGAGCTCAGGAGATACTGTCAAGATATTTCTCAAATTTTTGTTGACATACTTGAAGTCTAAGAGAAACGGTGCTACAGAAGTGAACAGGGTCCCCACCAAAACAGAAGTCCTTGTCTATAAACTACCACATATTTTTTAAAGGAGGCATGCCGATCCTATAGTTAAGAAGGTTATTTGGTAACAGCTCTACTCCTCAAACAAATGTTAAGTTTTGCATTCTTTCTCGCCTGTATACCACAAACATTACAGAAATGTTCAAATTCTGATAGTAATTCTCTAAACTTGTAATGATTGAAGCTATAAGCAATCATTCTCAAATAAACCAGACCACACTGTGTCTAAGGGCATAAATATTCAGTTATATTAGAAAATAGGAACTCACACATATGCACATAAGAGACTGTGATAGGCCGTAAGCGGTGGGTAATCCAGTCCCCAGTACTGTAAATTGTTATCACTACTGTTAAAATACCTGGAAAAATAAAAGGCACCATTCCATTATCAATACTCAAGACATAATTTAATATCTCATGCCACTTAATTAAAATTAAGCTTAATGGTTTAACTAAGACATTAATAATTACCTATGACATCAAACACAAACAGGGACGCCCCAGTTGCCCGGGACTTATTGTTACTCTATTCTTTGCAGATGTAGTAAATTAACTACACTCACACAACAGAACATATGCAACAAAGACGATCTGTATCTGATACTGCAACAAATTAGAAAACAGCACTTCTAATGCATAATTTGAAAAATGAAAAGCCAATTTCAAAGAACACATGAAGATAGGGCTTATAGAAAGAGAAAGATTACATGGAGTAAGCAGGCTGAATGAAGGCTTTGAAAGTAGCTCAGCTAGCATATATACTCCAGGCCTACAATAGAAAAGAATCTATGAACCAATGGGGAAAACTTGTCTAGAGTCCATAAAAGTGTCCAGCTCCTCCAGTTACAGATGTGAAGGAATTATAAAAAACCACTGTGCCTCTAAAATGAAAATTAAGTTTATACAAATATATTTCTTAATTATGTACTTTCGAGCTGAGCAACGTCTTCCATCCACTTACTCTCAGTCTCAGGAACAATTTACGGAATACAGATGAAACTACATAACCCACATATAAACGCTCATGAGGTCACAGACTCTCACTTCTCTAACTGAACGACTAACGTTAGCTAGCACTCAGGATTCTCATCAAGGTGGAGGATGTAGCCCACCTAAAGTGAGGAGCTGCTGGCAGTTGATGGCTGCTAGGGAAGGGAGGGTCAGACGTCTGGTAGTGTGCCTGTGCTCAGTGCATGGCCCTACCCCAATGAACTCGCTGGCAGCGGTAACTGGATTCAGTGGGTTACAAAAGGAAGACATGGAGTTAGAGCAATTAAGACAGAGAGAGCAGTCTCTGGGAGAAGCTGGAGTAGGGAGTATGAAATTCTCAAAGAATACATTACAAACGTATTTAAAGGGATCTCCATCAAAGTACCCTATTATTCATACCCTGGTTTGCTTTTCTTTAAACGTAGGCATGTATAGAGCTACAGTAAGCTATTATAAAATGCTGAAAGCATACTAGAAAGCTAAATGCTGTGGGTAGGGGGTGCTGTGGTACAGTACAGCTGGTGGCAGCTGGATGCTCCAGCAGAAACATCCACAGGAACATCCTGAGTCCTGTGTGTGGCTTGCACTAGAAGCCAAAAAGCTGTGTCTTCTCCACGTGAGCTGCAGGTGCTCTGCACAGCTTGAATCTGCCAGGAAAAATGGTGCACAAGGGTTCAGTCCTCTAGGAGGGGCTGACTGATGACAGGCACCAACTGTGTTACTTCCAAACTCACACTACCAGAGAGCACACTGCACGAGGCTTCGCTGCATTCGCCTCACGGAGCTGTTCAGGCACTGAGTTAAACATGTAAAGCTGTCAAGTTACCGCTTGGCAAAGCCTAAGTGCTTAGCAGTAGCTCTAACTGGCCACCAACCACCAAACTACCGGGATGGACACAGCGATGGGAAGTCACCAAGACATTCAAGACTACACTTGGATCAAAACAAGTTGATTTGGTTTCTAGCTTATAAAGAAAAGGCTAATTTACTTCAACCTTGAAATTCACTAGAGATAAGCGAAAGAGGAGCTGCAGAGACAGTGGGCTGTGAATGCAGCCTGACTATCAGGAAAGAAGGTAACGGTAAGGACTATGCGCCCCACTCTTAGGGTGATTCCTAACAGAGGGAGCCAGCTCATGGGCACATTGCCTATAAACACAGCTACTCAGGACAAGGCAGCCTGGACTACACAGTGGGACTATCTAAAGGGGGGCAGGGAAGAAAAGGAAAAGGAAGCTTGGAAGAAGATGGCTGTGTAGCTGTACGGCCAAGCTACACAGCTACACAGTGTGATGGTTTGAGTAAGAATGACTCCCATAGAAGCCCAGCACTCAGGATGCAGAGACAGGTGACTTCAAGGCCAGCCTGGTCTACAAAGGGAGTTTCAGGACCACCAGAACTGCTACACAGAGAAACCCTATCTTGAAAAAAAAAAAAGAAACAAAACAAAAAATAAAAAAAAATGGCTCCCATAGGCTCATATATTTCATCAGGAAGTGGAAGATTAGGTATGGTCTTGAAGGAGGAGGTGTGATCTTACTGGAGGAAGTGTGTTAGCTAGTGGTGGGCAATTAGGTTTCTAAAGCCCACGCTAGGCCCAGTTCTCTTTCTGCCTGTAGATCAAGATGTAGCTCTGAGCTACTGCTCCATCTTCTCTCATATGTGGGTCCTAAATTTTAACTCTCACATAGACACACACATATGAAGGTGTAGGTCAAGAAATCAGAAAGAGGACCATGAAAGGAGAAAAGATCTCAAGGCGTGGAAAAGAGGGGAAGGACTAAGGGGGGAGGGGCTGGAAATACGGCTCATCAGTTAAGGGATGCATCGCTCTCGGAGAGGACCAGTATTTGGTCCCCAGCATCCATACGGAGAGGCTCACGAGTGCCTGTAACTCCAGCTCCAGGGGACCCAACATCATCTTCTAGACTCAATCATGAACATGCCCACACAGAAACATAAAAAATTTAAATTCCTTTTCAAAGAAGGGGCTATGGAATATGTAAGGCGTGAGAGCAGAAAAGGGAGCTCTTGGCTGGGGAGAAAGGGAACCAGGAAGAGTGAGGGAGAGAAGAGAGGGGAGTGGGCAAGAGTGGTAAGAACATAGTACATGTGAAAATGCCTTAATAAACCCTTGCTCACCGGGCGTTGGTGGCACATGCCTTTAGTCCCAGCACTTGGGAGACAGGCAGGCAGATCTCTGTGAGTTTGAGGCTAGCCTGGTCTACAAAGTCAGTTCCAGGATAGACAGGGCTGTTACACAGAGAAACCCTGTCTCAAAAACAAAAACAAAAACAACAAACAAGAAAACCACTGCTGACCAGGAACTATGCAGACAGTTACTTCCACTCCGCAAGTGATAAAGGTAGCCGAGGGCTGATCACCGGCAGAGGACTGGGACCTCTGCACGGCACCTGCGCTCTCCTGAGAGACTGCAAAAGCTCCAGGTGGATGTGTCTGCGAGATTAAGGGTGACTACCACTGCTTCAGTGGTTGGGAATAACAGCAAATATCTACGATGTAAACCATACCACGTACTACTGACAATAGAGTGATCTCTTTACACTACACTGATACAGACCATGTAAGAAAGGACAAACGAATACTCCTCCCTTCAAGAGATGGTCACGAGGGTCTCCACCTTGTCGGGACCCACACCAGATGCAGAGCACACAGAGGAGGCCAAAGCGACAGAAGTAAACTTTTCAGTTGAAAACAAATTCAAATCTTCTTTTTACTGCTTTTCAGCCCTACACATACAGACAGTTACTACTGCTGTGACGTTTCTGTTTTTACCTAGAGCTGACACCACGGTAAGCCTTAGTGGAAAAGGCATAGGTAAGGGACAGGGCAAAAATACTGCCCGCCCATGCTTACATCCATCCAGAGGGGTTTCTGACATACACAGTCTTCTTGCATCCAGCTTCAAGTTCAGGGCTGGCAAGAAGGCTCAGTGTGTTAAAGTGCTTGTTCAGAGGCCTGACACGCTGGGCTTGATCCCTGGAACCGTGGCAGGAGAAAACAAGCTCTACATGTCCGCTGACAACCATGCACACTGTGGCACAAGTGCACTCCATGTCATCACACATGATGAGAATAAACAAAATGTAAAGATTTCTAAAAATCAGAAGTTCTAGATTAACAGCACGTCCTAGCTAACCGAGCGTGCATATGGATGATTTTCAGGACTGTGAAACTTCAAAGATGACATCAAAGGAAATACAACATGTACAAAGCGCCATGTGTAAGAGATGGAAAAGTGGTGTTTTTCTTTTAAATACCTTCATATAATCTATATTAACTATGATAAACACTAAAACAAACCAAAATTATCCATACCACTCTTTTACTGGCAAATTAAAGGTAATTTCTTGCCAGTGTCTCTGAGCTTCATAATCACCAAACATTGGGGGTCTTCCAGCACCTAGAATAGAAAGCAAAAAGAGGGTAAAAACGAACTTTTGGCATACGAGGTTTTTTAAATTTTATTTCCTTATAAAAATGCCCTATATCACAAGGGCAATGCAAGCTAGGGAAAGAACACAAGAACAATCAAAGTCAGAGATGAGGCCTGAGCCCAGTACTGCTCACCACCAAGTGAACACATGATGGGAAGGTCCTTACTTTCCCTCAGTCAAGAGCCGCCGTCTACTCAGAGAACGCTGGAGCAAATGCCAGTACAGAGCCTGGCAGAGCAGACACACGGTAAGCAGGGCCACCGCAGCACCACTCCGCTCTTATCAGCACAGGTGTCTATGGCTGCGGGTGCTTTTTGTTTATTACGTTTTTATTTGCTAGCAGTGATGGTGCAGACCTTTAATCCCAACACTGGGAAGGCAGAGGCAAGATGATGGCTATAAATTCAGGGCCAGTCTGGTCTACACAGTGAGTTCCAGGCCAGTCAGGGATACTTCATGAGAAAAACTGGTCTGAATATAAAATGGCACATATACGTCATGTTTGAGCACTTGGTCCACAGCTGGCGGAGCTGTTTTGGAAGGCTGTGGAACCTTTCAGAGGCAGGGACTTGAGGAAGTGGGTCACTGGGGCAGAGCCTTGAGGCCTGCTAGCCCCCTCCAGTTCTCTCCTCTTCCCAGTGGGGATTCAGTGTGAGCAGCATTCCCGCTCCTGCCTCGAACTGGAGGGCAGAATAAACTCTTGTCCCACGGGGTTTCTTCTCAGGCATTTGGTCACCACAATAGGAAAAGTAACAACACAAATACTTCAGGAAAGCACCATAAATTAACAACAAACATCTGCACTTACAAACTGAAAACAAAAAACATAAGGTCAAACACAGAGTTAAAAATAGGCTCGGTATTGACAAAGGTCAGCAGTACTATCAAATGATTTGTATGAATTCTCAAAGGCTGCTGAGATGTCTAGGCAACTAGAGGAATTTGGTGCCAAACCTGAGGCCAATCCTGGGAACCCACATGCAACTAGAGAACCAACTATTAAGTTGTCCTGACTTCCACACACCAAGCACTGTGGCACATACAACACACACAATAAATAAGCAAATAAATGTTTAAAAATAAAACAGTTTGTAATTTGCTTTTTATAAATAAGGGATAAACCTTTAACAACTAATATGTATGTCATAGTGCTAAATACAATAATCCTATGAACTCAGTGTTATGATTTACTCTACTTAAAGACTGGGAAAAGAGGAAATATTAACACAAGTAGTCAAATGCAGGGAACATATAAGCATAGCAGGTTGGCTCTAAAACCCATTCTTGTTTTGTTTTTAATCTTTTTTTAAAAAAGTAAACTACTGGGCTGGAGAGATGGCTTGGAGGTTCAGAGCATTGGCTGTTCTTCCAGAGGTCCTGAGTTCAATTCCCAGCAACCATATGATGGCTTATAATCATAATAAGAGGTAGACCATAATGAGATATGGTCCCCTCTTCTGGCCTGCATGGATAAATGCAGGCAGAACACTGTGTACATAATAAATAAATCTTTAAAAAAAAAAGAAGTAAACTATTTAAATGGTTTGTTTTTATTTTATGTGCATTGGTGTTCTGCCTGAGTGTGTGTCTGAGTGAGGGTGTCGGATCCCCTGGAGCTGGAGTTGCAGTTATGAACTGTCATGTGGGTACCAGGAATTAAACCCAGGTCCTCAGAAGAGCAGCCAGTGTTCTGAACCACTGAGCCTTCTCTCCAGCCCCTAAAACCCATTCTTAACTCCGAATGCCCACACGGATGACAGATCTCTATAGCAAATATCAAACTCCCTACGTAACTAGGAATTGACTACTGAACTGTGAGGAAGCCCAACAAGGTACAATAGAGTCACAGGCTTTTAAAGGCAGCAACAAGGTAGAAATCAAGATATCCACATATACTTCTAACCCAGCCTGAAGGTGTGTCACTGTGAATAATGAGAGACCCCTGCTCACTGAACTCTAACCCAGCTTTTCTCCAGATTTAGCAACGTTAGTTGTTTGCACTTGCTGGCTGCACTCGACCAGTATTCTCTGAATGCTACAGCTCCTAAGGAGACTAACAGCTCTCCAGCATGTCACTGGGTAACTGGTTCAGAAACAACTCACAGAACAAGCACATTTGCTGTGGAGCAATCTTTGTACAGTGTAACTATGTATTACTCTCACTGGTTAATAAAGAGCTGGCTGGCCTGCAGCTGGGCAGGATAAGATAAGGTGGGAGAACCAGACTAAGAGAATTCCAGAAAGAATAAGGGCAGAGTCAGGGGAATCTCTTGAGCCGTAGATAAAGCAGGAGATGAACATATATACTGAGTAAAGGTAACCAAGTCAAGTTAAAGAACGTAGATTAAAAAGATATGGGTTAATTTAAGTTATAAGAGCTAGTTAGAAACAAACCTAAGTTATGGGCCAAGCATTTATAATTAATAAGCGTCAATGTGGTTATTTGGGAACCGGCTGGTGGGACTGAAAAGACCACCTACACACACTTGTACATACACAATTCCCGTCTCTCAGATGAGCCATGCTCACTCATCTTCGCATCCTCGGCATGTGCTCACCTCGTGTTTCCTCAACAGCACCTGACAATACCCAGCACTTGATACAGCAGAGACGGCTAAGTGGCTGGAGTGACACAGCAAGGCATCTAATTCAAAACCTGTGAGCCCTTCATTTCCCACTTAGTGAGTGCTCAGCATCCATTTGTGATGGCAGACTAACTATGCCAAGGCTGTTTGAATAGAAAGCCCAGGTATTGGCTCTGCCCCCAACACCTTTCCTTCCGGCACTTTGAAACTTCTGTTCACCCTGCTTGCTCTCTATTCTCTGCATATCTTCTATCAACTCATACATGCCGCCTTCAAAACACATGTCAGGGACCAGCGAGATCGCTCTACAGGTGAGTGCTTGCCACTGAATCCTGCCGGCCCAAGTTTGACCCCTGGAACCCACACAAAAAGCTGGATGTGGCAGCACACGTCTGTAATCCCAGTGTCTCTGAAGGAAGAGCAGAGGTAGAGGCAGAATTATCCAGAAGCCCATGGGTCGGCCAGCCTCCAACAGTAAGAGAAGTCTGCCTTGATGAGGCAGCGGGGAGAAGAGGCTACTTACGCAAAGCTGCTTCACAGCTACCCACACTCACACACCAGGATGTAGCTTACTGAGAGTGTGCCTAGCGCGTGCAAGGTACAATCCCTCACACCAAAGCATTAACAAAATGTTGAGTTGTGTGTAGTATTAGAATGACTTCAAAAGCTAGGAATGGATGGAGTAGAGATGGTAGCACACGCCTTAATCCCATCACTTGGGAGGCAGAGGCAGGCAGGTATTTGTGAGTTTAAGACTCGCCTGGTCTACTTCAGGCCAGCCAGGGCTTCACAGTGAGACCCTGTCACCTCCAACAAAACGATTAGGCACAAGGGTCCATGCTTTTAATCTCAGTACTCAGTAGAGGCCAAGAGTTCAAGGCCATTCCTGGCTGCACAGGCTGAGTCAACCTAGGCTACACAAGCCTTGTCTCAAAAGAACAAACAAAATCATTTCAAATTCCAAACCCCCATGAGTCTCCCCTTACACATTAAAATATAAATGGTGAATTACTGACTTCTCGTGATATGTGTACTTTCCAGATCATGTTTGTCATACAGCTACACTACTTCCTGATTGATTACCAAGTAGAAATTTTAGTTACTGGAACAGAAAAAAAAAAGAAGGTTTTTCATAAATCAAAGTAGGTAACATGTTAAACATGTAGTAATTGTAAAATGTACTCAATTAAACTCAATAGGAAGAGAAAGATGATTTCTTCTAATTGTAAAATATGGCACGAGAGGAACCTTTGCAGTCCCATGGCAGGTCGGGCCCAAACCGCTGCTAGTGACAAAGTACACCACGAGAGAGCTGGAATGTGGAATTTGTTTGTCTGTTTGTTTGTTTTTTTAAAGGGAAGTTTTTTCTTTTTTTTTAAAGATTTATTTATTACTTATGTATACAGTGTTCTGCCTGCCTGTATCCCTGCAGTCCAGAAGAGGGCACCAGATCTTATTACAGATGGTTATGAGCCATGTGGTTGCTGGGAATTGAACTCAGGACCTCTGGAAGAACAGCCAGTGCTCTTAACCTGAGCCATCTCTCCAGGCCCCGGGTATGGAGTTTTATTAAAAAGGAGGAAAGAGAGAATGAGAGAAGGAGCAAGAGACAGAGAAAAAGGGAAAAGAGAGAGAGAGAAGGAGGAGGATGAAAGGAGGGAGGGAGGGGAAGGGAGAGGGGAGGCCAGAAAGAAAGAGATCAGGAGTGGACAAAACTTGTCTCTTAAAGGACCTTTGTTTACAGTGGAACTGTATGCCATAAGTGGGGGAGGGGGCAGGGCCAAGGTGTATCTGGATACTAACACTAATAAATTCTGAAAGAAAAGATTCCTCCAAGAGTTTTTATGTTTTTCACATGTGGTATGGATATGTGTGTGTGAATCCAGCCCAATGAATACAAATCACTAGATATATGGCTTCTTTGGAAAGTGAGATGAGTTAATTTTTTCTTTTTTCAATGCCCTTAGGATAATAAAGTCAGAAAAGAGTCCAGGTAATGTCCTATACCTGGAAAAAGACATCAAACTCTCTAGATTTCTTAAAACTACTCCAGAAATCGTGTGGTCGACGTGGAAGAATTGATTACACTCTCTAGCAAACAGAAGAATGGATAACGACTCTCTTCAGGGTTAAGGAACAAGTTTTTATCCAGAGTCTGACCTACTTCAATAAATTCAGTTGACACTGGCTATTAAATTAGTACTTAAGTTTCTAAAACTGCTAAAGTGCCCTCAAAGCAAGCCAGAAGGACAGCCCAACTGCGCCTGTGGGAGCTGCACTCAGAAGAGCAAAAGGATTCCTTCCAGTGATTAATTCTACACACTCACTCATGTGAGATTCAGAACAACATGGAGAAAACACACAATGTGCATTTACAGAAC